TGGGACCTTTCGCAATTCCACCCTGCCCTCCCATCGCTGCTTGGTGGGGGCAGATAAGAAGGTACAGAGCTCTGAGGTGAATGTCTACACCCACATGCTGCAGCAGGATGCTTTGCAGACCTGGTCCCTGACTCCCCCTCACCAACAGGGCTTTGTACCCCCAAACGATGAGCGTCACACCTAGTCGTCTTGCCACTCTCTAGCTGCTCCCCCCTTTCCACACGCTCTCCCCTCTGTCATATCGTTTGGGTTTCCAGTCAATTTTGGGACAAAACCCCCCATCCCGGCCTGGCTTCAGCATTTTGCCCCCAGAGGTGCACTTCAATCCTCACCAGTGGAGCCATGAGGGACAGGAGAGGTGTCTCTCTTCTGCTTTGGGACCTGAGAGACCTTATGTCCAGATGAGGGGATCAGCCTGGAAGGCTCTCACTTCCTGCCAACTCCTAGTCTACTGGGCTTTAAAGAGACAGACTCCAGGGGGGCTACTGCCCAGTTTCCTGCTTGTAGAAAACACACCAACTGCTTCGGCCTGCCCTTCAGCTCTCCCCCCGCCCCGCTCTCCTGAGGAGACAACTTTGACCTTTGTCTTCTTGCACCATTCCAGAGCCAGGTCAGCATGAGAGGCCTGACAGCATGAATTTGTCACAAAGCACCGCACAAAAGCAGGGCCAAGCCCCCACTTTCTCTTCCCTTCACTCTCATTATTCGGGTGCCTGTCTGGACGTCCATCTGCCCAGCCACTCTGTCCTTTCCTGGTTTTCAACTGCCCACCAGGCACTTCCCCTGGCCTGGATCGTCTTGGATGCCAAAGGTCAAGAAACTCACCCCCACCCGAGATGAGCCACCTCAATTCATGGCTGTGCCCTTCATTCGAGGGAACCACATGAAGGTTTCCCACCTTCCTGGCCTCCAGGGTCCCTGGGAGGCATTCAGTCAGTATTGACAAGGAGTGTTTGCATCCATCCTCTGCACTCCTGAGGTCCCATGTGCCAGTGAGTCCTCCATGTTTCACAGCCACCGAGGGACTCCAGATGCCTGTTTCCTTTGGAGACGACCCCAGAGAGGAATGGCCCTTCAGGAAGGTAAAGCTCACCTTGTCTCTGCTGCTTCTCAACACCCCTCCACCCCCCAAAATATACACAGCACTCCCAAGAGCTCATGCTCTGTGTGTGTAACAGAGCTCAGCAAACCGTGGGAAGGGACCAGGAGGATTCAAGTGTGCACCACAACGGCCAGGAAGCGATTGCTTTGTGTGTGTTCCCGGAGGCCAAGAACAAGCACCATCCTCTGCACTACAAGAGTGGTAGTCCTCTGTGGGACTCCATCTGAAGTCATTCCAGGACCAGAGCTTCCCTGCTGCTTCCTGAAAAGTTCCCCTTCCTCCCTCTGCTGAGGAGAAAGACAACCCCGACAGCTGACTGTCCTGTAGCACCCTTCTCTCTTGTCTCTCTCAACAAGCCATCCACCCTCACCTTCCTCCAGGTCCAAGAATCTGGACTCAGAGGGACAGAAACACGTGCATCCAGGATCTAGAATTATCCTCAATGAACGCAGGTCTTCATCCATCCTGCCCCTCCACATTACCGTGTATTCATCATTCTAGATCTCGGGGGTTCGAACCTCAGTCCTCATCTCTATGCATCTCTGGTTCCACTAAACCTTCCTCCTCAGCATAACCAGATACAGAAATGTGGGTTGTCGGTATTTCTTTTGAAGTAGGGTTGTACCTTTAACACAGCGGCTCTCCTAGTGTCCCTAATCTCTTTAATGCCTCCAAATGTTAACGTTTGGGCGCAGTCTCTGTACTCTCGCACCTTTCCACTTTGCTTCATGCCGTGTGGTTTGTTCCATCCACATGCAACTCTGTGTTTTATGCAACTCAGTTTTATATAAGACCCCCTCTCCGTCATCTGTTCTTTCTCAAGTGTGCTGCTCTTTGTTGACAAGCCTTCCTGCTAAGTTGGTCAGGTGGTGCTGCTTCCCCTCTCCCGTGGCTTGCACCCCTTTCTGTGCCCCAGACACCCGTTTTCTTCAGGATTGTGATAGCTTTGAGCAGGAACACTCTCAACAGCCTTCCTCTAACCATGTGGTCCTTTCACTAGCAAGGACTCTGCAGAGCACAGCTGCCTCCTGCGTTCCCCCATCTTCTTGTGCTGCTCTTCCTCCACATGTCACATGCTCATGTGCTCTAAAAAGTGGCTTTGTATTCCCATCTCCGCTCCTCACGTTTTCTCCTCTTAAGAAATTGATTTTCCCACAGTGAATGTAAACGTGTGCGTCTATCACTTCCTACATCAACCACTGTGTTTACTTACGAACAACATGGACACAGGATTGCTCAACTGCACCAACATCTTAGGCAAGGGCATATGCATACTTTCTTACGTTTAGCAAACGCCCGGGGTATCATGTTTTAATGATTTATTGATTTTTATTTTTGTACGTATGACTGCTGTTTGCCTCCGTGTATGTCTGTGCAATTCATGAGTGCCTGCAGCATCAGAGGCCAGAAGAGGCGGTCAGATCCCTGGAACTGGAGTCACAGAGGGTTGTGAGCTGGCTTGTGGTGCTGGGAATAAAACTTGGTGCTATGCAAGAGGAAAAGGTACCCTTACCCTCTGAGCCATGTCTCCAGCCCTATTCACCCATGTTCTGTATATTTTTCACATTCATAGTTTGTTTATATTGTACCTCCTGGGATCAAGTTGAGGGCTCCTCCCAGAACTGTTGCTGTTTCTTTTACACATCCTTTCCTTAGTGTTTCTTTGGGAATTTTAAACCATCCACCCCCATTCCAGTCATTTCCCAGTCCCTCGATATCTGCCCTTCACCCTCTTATCATCCCCCACTCAAAAGTAAATTGAAAAAGAAAATTAACACCAAACCATGTCACGAGAGGGAGCCCACCCCTGACACTGCCTGGAGTGCCAGAATCCAGAGGCTGGACAGCCCAGAGACCTAGGATAGAACCAGACATGAGTGGAAGAAAAAATGTCAATGTAACACTGCCTAAGGGTAGTCTGCTACACTCATAGATTGGTGCCTAGTCAAGAGTCATCAGAGGGGCTTCATCCAGCACCTGGTGGAAGCAGACCCAGAGACCCACAGCCAAACATCAGGCTGAGCTCAGGGAATCCTGCTGAAAAGAGCAGGGAAGGATTGTAGGAGACACAGAGGTCAAGGACACCATGAGAAAACCCACAGAATCAACTCACCTGGCTCACAGCAGCTCACAGAGACTTAAGCAACAACCAGGGAGCCTGCATGAGACTGACCTAGGCCCTCTGTATATATGTGACAGTTGTGTATCTTCGTATTCTTGTGGACTAACAGTGGAGCAGGAGCTCTCCCTGACTCTTGCAGACTTGGGGGACCCTACTCCTCATACTGGGCTGCCTTGCACAGCCTTAATACAAGGCAAGGTGTTGTCTTACTACATGTTGATATCCATGGGAGGCCAGCCATTTTGTTAACATCCATAGTCAGGAGAGTAAATAAATAAATAAAAGCACTTTGCTCCTCCGTATTCTCTGCCTCTCCAACACCTCTTCATGTGTCTTGGTGGCAATGGGAGCCTCAGTGTCACACAGTGTACCCTGTGGTCCTATCAGCGTTATTTGACAATGTTCATTGCAATGGTCTGGTTCAAGACTTCTGGTTTCTGGTACACATTCTTCACTAGACCCTCTCTGCAATGCCTCTTAGTTTTCAGGAGGGCGCCCCCAGTCATGGAGACGCTGTGATTAATGTTCCACAGGACCAGTCCCTTCACATGCTCTGGCAGGTCACAGATGGGGCAGATGTTAGGGTGAGCCAACCCAAAACCCTGGATGTGGGCCTGGGTGGTAGTTGAACTAGTCAGACCTGGCCACTGGGGCCGCCCCATTCAGGTGTGCAGCAGAGCCCGCTCTCATGCCCATGCCATCAGGACCAGCTTTCCCACACCCATGGTGAGCGGTAGGGCCATCTCTCCCAAGTGCTGGGGCCAGCTCTTTGCTGCAGTGTCCAGCAAGGGCCAGGGCCAGCTTAGGGCAGGGCTGGCTCAGCCTGACCCTTGGCTTTCATCATGCATGGTTCTTATATGGCCCCTGTGGAAACACAGGCCACAGATATCAACAGATCCCAGCTGCAGCAGGACCCCGAAGCCAGACAGGGCCCTCAGCAGCTCAGACCTAGACAACATCATGGCCCTGGTTGGCAGCACAGGCTGCTCAGATAGCATGGCTCCTGCAGTGGCACAGCCCTCAGACACCATCCAGCCCACAGCTTTGTGGCTCAGGCTCCAACCTTTGGTGGCAACACAGGCCAGGGACTTCAACACAGACCCCTGGCTGTTTTAGACTCAGGAACCCAGACATGGGACTCAGCAGCAGAGGGGCCTAGATGTCACCATGGCCTCAGGGAGCAGCCCAGGCCACTCAGATCATCATGGCCCCAGTGGCAGTGTGGCCCTTCAACACCAACAAGGCCCCAGGTGGTGGCCCAGACTCCTGGCATCTACATGACCTTTGATGGTAACAGGAGCCAGGGACATCAGCACAGCAATTGGCCGCCTTAAGACCACCGACCCAGACATGGCCCTCAGCTGAAGCCCTAACCAGTTGTCACCAGGGCACTGGGTAGCAGGCCGGCCCACTAAGATCTGTATGGCCCCATCTGCAGCATGGGCCTCAGAGACCTACATGACGTCAGGTGGTGGCTTGGACCCTGGGAATCTGTATGGACTTCTGTGGCAACTGAAGCCATCCATGGGCATCAACTTAGACCCTGGCTGCTGCAGGACCCCAGATCCAGACATGGCCCTTGGCAGCAGCTCAGGCCCAGACTTCACCAACACCCTGGGTGGCAGCTCAGCACACCCAGATCGGCATGGCCCCAGCAGTGGCATGGGCCTCGGGCACCAACATAGCCACAGCTAGGAGCCCACACCTGGGCATCGGTGCCACCTTTGGGGGTGAAATGGGCCATGGACTTTAACACAGACTGGCTGCAGCAGCAGAATGGACCCAGACATGGCCCTCTGCAGCAGCCTGTCCTCGGAGGTCACCATGGCCCCAGCTGGCAGTGCAGGCCCCCCAGAGCAGTATGGCACAGCTGTAGCATGGCTCTTGGACCTCAACATGGCCTCAGGAGGTGGGCCAGACCCATTCACCCATTTTTAAATGGTGTACACACAGTGCAAATAGCAATGGGTCTAATACCCTTTATGTTCAAAGTGTTCCTTAGCCATTTTCAACCTCATACACTCTTTTTTCTCCTCATTACATTCTTCCCACCTACTAGTCTCCTTATTCTTATCACAGTCTCCCTCTTGTTTACATGCATGTCATATAGTATGCATGAGAAATGTGTTTGTTTTAATCACGGATTTTTGACTTGTTTGGTTCTCTTATAGTTGTTGGAATCCATGTATTCATTAATTTTCTGCCTGATGGATATGTAGCAAATATTTTTTACCCATTCTGAATGCTGTCTCTTCACTCCAGCAATTTGCTGGCTTTTGCTGTGGAGAATGTTGTTAATGCCTCATGATTCCATCTGCCAAATATGGAGCCCATTTCCTGAGCTACTGAACCTTTTAAGAAGGTTCTTGGCTATACATACCCTTCTCTTGAGGAATTTTCCCTATATTTCCCTCTGGCATGTTCAGAGTTTCAGGTCTCATATGAAGGTCTTTGATCCAGTTGGAACTGATTTTTCTTCAGGATGGAAGATAGGGATGCAGGTTTAGTCTTCTACACGTGTATATCTAGTTTTCCAGGACTATGTGTCAACGAGGACGGCTGCCTGTTCTCCAGTGTATGCTTTTGGCATTTCTGTCAAAATAGCCACAGAAGCCGCGTATGTTGTCTGGCATGTGGACCCTAGCGTCTTAGTTTTCCATTTCTGTGTTTAAATAGGAGTTAGTGTCTGCAGAAGTCAGGGGACAGGAAAGGAGCCATGAGAGGAGGTCTTGAGGGGAGGGACAGTGCATGTGACATGAACGTGGAGTTGGGGGGACTCTGGGGCTAGAAAGGTTTAAACGGGGATGGTGCTACGGGCAATGGGGTTGTGGGAAAAGGTCAACCAAAACTTAGGACATAGGCAACAGCCATGCAGAGACTTACTAAATTGAGAAAGTAACTAAACGATTTAATTGATTAATTATTTCGATTGGAGGCACCCTCCATGGATGGATAATGCTACTCCACAATGCTATAAAACAATGGAGGGTATTACCATTGGCCTAGTAACCTACCAAACCCAGACGCTAAGACCCTATTACTGAAGAACCCACAGACATGGGATGCAGCACATAGATAAATCAAGTCGAACTAAGCTGGAAGTTTCCTCTCTGCCGGCTGGTGTTCACAGTGCTGGAAGGTCCCATGCAGGCTGTGGCAGAACAGAAAGAAAACAAAATCAAGAAGAAGGCCTCAGTGGCCTTATCCAGCCCTGCTCCGTGTCCTATGATAACCCCTCACCAGGCAAGAGGCTGTCACTGTGCAGTAGGGACACAACTGCTTCTGGAGTAAGCACCTACTTCATGGCTGGATTTCAGGCTTTATCCATGGGGAGAATTACGTACCCAGAGTCTTAGGTTCTCTCTTGCTGCCATCATCCACCAAGACCAAAAGTGACTTTGGGAGGAAACTGTTGCTTCATCCTACATCCTGTAAAACCGGAATAGGGACCTGGAGGCAGGAACTGAAGCAGGGGTCATGGAGGAATGCTTCTTACAGGCTTGCTCATCATGGCTTGCTCAGTCTGCTGTCTTATGTGACTACCTGCCCAGGATTGGCACTGCCAGCCGGGACCTCCTACATCAGTCATTAATTAAGATAATACCCCAGAAACTTGCCTTCAGGCCAATCTTATGAAAACCTTTTCTGAATTAAGATTCACTCTTCTCAAATATGTTTAAGTTTGCAGCAGGTAGGAAAAAAATTCACAAATTACCCCTTGACAACAACTTGTCACCAAACATTTCACTTTTTTTGACTTATCAGGTTGCATTAATATATTTATGCATTATATATGTAACAATAACAATGAAAGAAGGAAGAGGCCATGAAGTTTTTCATTTTTCTTTTTTTGTTATTTATTTTTTTGTTTTTACATCCCAATCAAGGTTTCTCCTCCTTCCTCCCCTCTTCCCAGTTCCTTCTCCCTCCCCTCTCTCCCACTCACCCGCCCCTCCTCCATTGTTTCTCTTCAGATACAGGCAGGCCTCCCATGGATATCAGGCAGCCAAGTTATAGCAAGTTGCAGTGCGATTAGGCTCCTCCTCTTCTATTAAGACTGGATGAGGCAATACGGTGGGAGGAAAGGGTCCCAAAAGCGGGCAACAGAGTCAGAGACAACACCTACTCTCACTGTTAGGAGTCTCACATGAAGACCACTTTACACAACTGTAACATATACGCAGAGGGTCTAGATCAGTCCCATGCAGGCTCCCTGGTTGCTGGTTCAGTCTTTGTGAGTCGATGTGAGCCCAGGTTGGTTGATTCTGTGGGTTTTCTTCTGGTGCCCTTGACACCACTGGGTCTTACAATCCTTCCTCCCCTTCTTCTTCAGGATTCTCTGAGACCCACCTAATTAATGTTTGACTGTGGGTCTCTACATCTGTTTCCATCAGTCGCTGGGTGAAGAGGCCATGAATTTGAGAGAGAGAAACGCAGAGGATGGGAAGGGTAGGTGGGAGGAAAGGGGAGGGTGAAACGATGTAAATATATACTTATTGAAATATATTTTTATTAAAAATAGATTATTTTCCCATACACTATATCCTGATTATGATTTCCCCTTCCTCTACTCCTCCCGGTTCCTCCCCACTTCCCTTCCCATTCGGATCCACTCTCTTTCTGTCTCTCATTAGAAAAGACAAACTTTTAAGAGGTAACAACAAAACATAACAAAATAAAATGTATGATAAAACAAAAAAAAAAACTATCACATCAAAGTTGGAAAAGACAAACCAACCGAAGGAAAAGAGCCCAAGAGAAGGCACAAGAATCAGAGACCCACTCGTTCATATACTCAGGAATCCCACCAAAACGCTGAACTGGAAGACATAATATATTCACAGAAGACCTGATGCAGACCCATGCAGGCCCTGTGCAGGATACTTCAGTCTCTGTGAGTTCATATGAGCTCTGCTCATGTTGATTTAGAGGGCCTTGTGTTCTTGATGTCCTCCAATCCCTCTGGCTCTTATACTCTTTATGCCTCCTCTTCTATGGGGTTCCTTGAACTCCGAGGAGAGGGATTTAATGGAGACATCCCATTTAGAGCTGTGAAAACACATCACTTTCAAGCTATAACTTTCCTTTCTTGTTTATCCCCAATGATTTCACATTAATATCAATATTACAATACAAAACATTCAAACTTTTACAAGTTCCACCCTCTTTAAAAATTCCAACATTTTATCCAAAGTCTTTTTAAAGTCTCTAAAAATACAAAGTCTGACAGTGTAAAGCGGGGTGCTTAGTGTATGGGATGTACTCATGATCCTCTTGGTTCCAAAGGGCCTTGGCAACTGCACTTCGCCCGCCCTGCCATCCACAGCACACAGGTCTCTCAGGGTCAGGTCAGCTCCACTCCCTGGTTGTTGCTGCTTTTTTATTCTATTAGTGAAGCTTTCCATTGAGGTTTTGTTTGTTGGCTTGTTGTATCTTTTTCTTTCTTTTTCATACAATATACTTTGATCATGATTTTTCCCTCCCCCAATTCCTCCCAGATCCTGGTTTTATTGAGATGGAGTCTCTCTACGTAGCCCTGGCTGTCCTGGAACTTGCCATGTAGATCAGGCTGGCCTGGAACTCACAGAGATCAATTGCCTCAGCCTCCCCTATGCTGGGATTAAAGGCATGTGCCTGGCAAGTGTTTTTTTTAATTTGCTTTACTGAAATGAGACTATGTCATAGTAGACACGACGTTTCCTCCCCAGTGGATTAGGGATGGGGCTCAGTAGCTAAACCTTCATACTCAGGGCATCAAGTATGATCTAAAACCCTATACTAAGAGGTGAATGTTAAATGCAGAAATGACCAAAATTTATGGATAAGGTAGCTATGAAAATACAATAACTCCAGTAACCTCTGTGGAATATAGGAACTGAGTGTGTCCTAAGGTATTAGTTAATGAAAGTTTAAATATTAAAAAACAAGTGTAATAATAGTGATTCCTATTAAAGCAACAGAGAAAAATGAAAGAATGAAAAGGAAATAGAGACAGGAAATAATATAGAAGAAGAGAATAAGTTTAAGGTTAGGCTCAAAAGAGGAACGGTAAGGAAATCCAATTACTCAGCCTCAGTACTTTGGAGCTCGAGGCAGGGAGCTCCCAAACCAGGCTATTTAGAAAAGCTATATTAAAAAAAGGAAAAGAAAAAGAAAGGAAATAAATAAAAGAAAGAAGAGTATACGACAGAGCTTTCCACAGAATTAAATTTAGATATGATACGATATCTATCTCTATGCAGTGACTCTCCTAAGCCTAGGGGCAGACTGATTATGTGCTCATTTGTCTGAGCACAGGTACAACAGTCTCTTTATGTGGCCACTTGCATGACCTCAGGTGTATCTGTGATCACGCACCTGATTTTATGTGTAGACTGTCTCCCACTCATGGGTGACCAGGTACAGACTCCATGTGACCATTTACCTGAGTACAGGTAGAGTTAATATGTAGTTAATAGTCTGAAACAAGGGGTAGATCCTGCTTCTTCACCATCTTGCTTATCTGTAAAAGTCTGGCAAAGCACAGAGCTTTGTGCAATCATCATTTCTATGCCCATCTTTATGTTCCTTGCCTTGCAACCAGAGGGTGCGGCTCATGGGCCATGCAGAGAGTATTGTAACTAAGGATGTTCTTTCAGACTATATACACCGGATAGGGCTCTCAGATTTAGAGGTTTCCCTATGGCCAGAGGCATTCTGTATGCTTTCCAGAGCCCAGTACTCACTAGGCTCGTGGTAATTACTTTTGATTGTTCACTTGACACGATACAGAATCACTTGGGCAGGGAATCTCAATGACAAGTTGTCCAGATTAGGTTGGTCTATGGACATGTTGGTGAGAGATTTTCTCGGTTGAGTCAATTGAAGTAGGAAGATTAACCCTGAATTTGGGAGGTGTTGTTTCATGGG